CTGTGACTGACACAAAGTCAGAGTGGTGGAGGGAAAGGGGTAGATACTGAGAGTCAGTGCTGTGGTTACAGGATCTGCATGTTTAAAAAGAAAAAGTGGCAGTTGCAGCCAGGGGAGACGATCATGCTTAACCAGGTCTCTTGAATGAAACCTGGGGCCTGTGGTACCGTTCTGATTCAAATTGCAAGAAGTGTTATTTTTAACAGAGCTCCTCCTACAATGTTTCTCACTCGACCTGCATCTCAGCTGCTACTGGTGCAGTTATACCCACAACATTCAGGAATAACAGGATTTCATAAATTATGGCAAGATAAAGTAGACAAAGTTGGTATTGACTTGCTGATGACAACGCATGTGTAACACTATTCCAGCTCACTTTTCTGGTTATTCCCTTTTGCATGATGAACTGGAATGATGTTTATATATAACATAACATACTATATTATGTTTATATATATATATATTACATAATATATAAATATTATTCCATGTTTTATATATACATTTTATATATGTTTCACCTTGGCTTTCTCATGATTTGTCTTCTCCTTTTTGTCGCTGTGCTTTTCCACAGTGTAAATGTAAAAGCATAAATCCAGCACAGTTTCCTCCTATCTCCTTTTAAAATCTTTAAATAGCCTTTTCTTGCTGTCACGCAGCAGATCTTAGCAGAAGTTATTTGGTGTTAACAGCACTCAGGGTACTCTAACAAAGAAATCAGTGACTGTAATAGCTTCTACTAAACCTGGTACTATATTTTGGTAAATGCATCTCCCTTTCCTTTGCATTTGTGACTGAAAGGTGCTTTGAGGAGGAGGAGAAGGTCTGCTTTTTACAGAGCCATGCAGGGTATGGAGTCATTCTGTTGGGTTTTTCCTTAACCATCTTTCCCAAAGTCTGCTTTAGGGTGACTGTTTATGTAAAGTCTAGTGTTTCCTAGTGCTTTATTTTCAGACTTTATGTAGATGAAATGCTTGTGGTCACTGTCACTGGTTCACCACATGAAGGATGCCTAACAGCATGGGAGCTGTGTTGTCAGGGGGAGGAGCTCGTCCAGGAAACTTTTGGAAAATCTGTCTTGTTTAAAACAAACAAACAAAATTCTAGCAACATCTTTTACATGACTGCAACCATGCGTGGTATGTGCACTCCCTCTCTTCTCCTTGTCTCCAGTGTATATATAGCATGCATTCAGCCAGTGCTGTGGAGTCTGTGCACTCCAACATGCAGCAGGAAGCCAACAATCCATTTTCTATGACTCTCCCCTGCCCTGTAATCTAAGAAGGCAAGAATTGTTTCTGTGCAGTTTATGGAGGTTGGGGAGGGTCTTTGTGTGGTTTTAATTTTAACACAAACTAAAAAAAAAAGAAAAGCTTTCTATTTTCACTGTCTTGCAAGGCATCCTAGAGAAATTGGAATCCTTTCCCACAAGGGAAACTCTGAGTACAGTACATATGGTTTATATGGCCAGGGATTGATTGCAGGATGTACTTGCCTGTAGCAGGTTATCGAGTAAAACTCAGCAGACCTGGAACTGAAGTAGGCTGCTTCCTGCCTGTAACAAGACCAAGAGATTTTGCAGACCATTAATTCATCCCTCTAATCAGCTGGAAATTTCAGAGGTGCTTAAAAGAGTTGCCTCTTGGGCACCCTTGGAAATACCAGTTAACTTCGTTATGCTTTTTATGTTGAGTCTAATCTGTGCTTGCAGATTGATCTTTTTCTCATGATGGAAATGTAGTAGTAGTAATTGCTATTGCATCTTTGATAGGAATCATGCAACATGAATCAAATAGTAGAACTTATTTTAAATAACCTGAAATATATACAGTAATCCTAAGGAATGCATGCTCATTTCTGCTTGGGCTGTCTGTCTTGTCCTGCTTATCTCCCGTAGAGGCATGATTCTCATAAGCTTAAATCCTGTGCTAATGTGTCTCACTCCTAAATAGGACTACCTGATACAATTGGAGTTTATCCTCTTGGTTGGAAAGAGGTTAATTAAGGGAACAATTAGAAAAGCTCATTAAAACTGCATTCAAGTTCAGTGTAATGAACAGTGCGCTTCCTGTGACAAGATGATTCCAAAATCACGCTCTTCTGATTCCTCCCTGACACAGTTCCCCAGCACTAGTCCCTGTGTGCTGGTTTGAAGCAGAGTCTTGGGCTGTGCTGGTGTCCTTGTTTGCATTACTGTGGTGGTTGTGATAGAGACTGGAACAATAACCTTAAGCCCAGGCACCTTCTCACCCCTGAGGGAAGGGAGGGGTTCCGCAGGAATTTACAATCTGCTTTGCATTGCATTTCCATTTCTTGGGTCTCAGGTTTTTACAGCAGGGAAAGCATAAATTCGGATAGATTACCCCCAGCTTGGCTTTGCAGACAGTGTCAATACTGAAGCCAGCTCAGACCTGGCTGCAAGAGCCTTCTGCAGCTGTGAGCACCTCTGCATAAATCCAGTCTGTGGTTCTGGGACTGGTTCCTTACAAAATGGCCATGTACGTGCTAGGTTAGCATAGTCCGTGAAAGCCAGTTCTGTGTCCTGGGTTCTGCTTCAGTGGACTGGGACTGTCTGTCTGAAAACAGAATCACAGCAGCCAACAAATTGTTTGCTTGTGTAGTCAGCCCAGCCTCTGTTTCTCGTCCCTGGTTCCAGTCTGAGATTGCGGGTAAGTCACGTGGCTGGATCGGACAGTCTGGGGAGGCTCACAGGGAAAAGCAGTGTTAGAGGGGCCTTTTCAGCACTGGGCTAGTTTACACTTCAAAATTCAGGTTGACTGATGATTTTGGAAAAGTAACAGATTTTCTTACGATTTGCCTGTACTCACAGAATGGTGGGGCTGCCTCTCACAGGGGTTTGGGTGCAGGTATCACCTTTTATCCAACGTTGTTACAGCATCAGTAAGTGTAGTACTGCTGAGTTGGGGAGTTATTTTACCATCACCTGGGGGCAGTTTGGCAGATATGGATCTTGCATTACTGGGTCCCTCTGAAAAGGAAGACTTAAGTGGCAGTGGGATAGAGCTCCATTCTGGTATGAGGGTGCAGTGGGGGATCTTCTGGCCTCAACAGTGCTGCAAAACTGCCTCAGGGCTCTATGCAGCCAGGCCTGTTGATCAGCAGCAAGTTAGGATTGCACTGAATACTGTTGAACAGAGACTGATTTGTCCTTGACTCAGATGTTGAAAAATGCTGAGCAGTTGGTGTTAAAGCAGAGAATTCCATCTCTCTGTGAAAGAAATCTCAGCTTTTCCCTGATAAGGACTTGAGAAATGATGCAGCTTTGCTCACAGTGGTTTTGAGCCTCAGTCCATGTGATGCTCATTGCAAATGTATATACTTTCAGCTTTTCTTTCTCTAAGCTAAGCCATGTACCAGTGTGAAGCTTAAAATCCAGAGCAGTGGTTCAACATCCTTGTTTCAGGTTCATCTCAGTAGGGTGGTACCTGCTGCTGGCAGACACTGCAAGGCACGGACACTGCTGCTTTGAATTGTGCCTTGGTATTGAGTCTGCAGGGAAGCCTGTTTAGAAGGGTTAGATAAACACAATTAAACTGCATTGCCAGCAATGATGTTTTTATTTAATGCATTAATGAGTGCAGGTGGCAGGACCTCTGACGTGAATTAAATGCAGAGCAAACTCCTGCTGTACTAGCAGAGCCATTGTGAGCCACTGAATGCTGAGCCAGCTCATTTGAGAGATGAGGTGGGAGATGGGAATGAGCTTCCCATGCCTGAGTGATAATTTTGAGCATCACCTTACAGCACAAACAGCTTGTGCTAAAGAACCAAGAGCAAGAGAGTGTGTTTCAGAGCTGCATTTCTATCAATAACAGCATTAAGATAAGGTGGTCACAAAAACAGATTTACTTCCTTGTCACCTTATTCTGTTACCTGGTAGGATTCAATAATGCACTGGTTAAAAGAATTCTGTTCAGCCCACACCAGCACTTACAGTGCTAGAACAACACCACCCAAGTCCCTTCGTTTCCTTCTATAGGCAGGATGCTGGAATCCAGCACAATTACTGTGCTCTGCTGGCCTTTCCCACGGTGAAACCTGGTTTTTATTTCCTTGAACCTCAGTATCAGTGAAATGATCCTTGGAAAGCTTGTATTGATTGCACATGATTGTCTAATTAAAGTGTGATAACAAGAATTTCAGAACACTCACCCTCACAGCCCTGTGCTTATTGTAGACACTGTAAATTAGAAAGCTTGCTGCTCAGATATGGAAAATGTCAATGCTTATTTCCTTTTGAATTTCCCAGCAACTCCTGAAGGCTGCACTTGTAGATGTGTTGTTATTTTTTTTCCTAAAATAACAATTGGAAAGAAGTGTTACTTAGAGAAGAAATGAGGCCCTGTAGGCTTGCAGGGGCCCTGTTCTGACCCTGCTAGCTGTTACTCTTGTTGTCTAAAGGGAAACACTTCTAAATGAATGTATTTTAATCTGAAACCTGCTAGATGATCCTTTTTCAGCATCATGTGCAGAGATAGGTATTAATTATACATTATATAGATGCAAGTCTTTAAATAGTGCTCTCTGGTCTTACCTGGAGGCTGTTTGTTGATCCATCTGGACTTTAGGGCTGGTTTGCTCCCTGTTGCTTGTGGTTTCATACTTTCTGGTAACTTGGATCTTCCTGAGATGTGTGCAAGGCAAATCCTAGTCCTCAATACGTCGCAGGAACCCAAGAGTTTGTCATTACAGGTCTGCATCTTGCTTAGTCACTGATTGAATAGGTGGCCCTGGGGACATCACTGAACTTACCCAAACCTTCTGCTTGTATCTAATCACTGGGTGATCCATGACTCACTGTGATACATTTACAGAGCTTTATGAATGATCAGTAATTCTGCCCAGGATGCTGAGCAGAAAGATGCTATAGGGAATGGTGGAGCTTGAATTAATGAATGGTTCACCAATTGCATACAAACCCCCTTAAATATGTTCGGTCTCATGTGTCAAACTGACTTTTCCCTTTCTTTCCCTTCCAGATGTACTTTCCGATTCCCCAGCACGGTTATAAAGATCCAGTTCACATCTTTATACCATAAAGAGGAAGTAAAAGAGGAAACCTCATCGCCTCCCCCTCGGCCACTTTACCCTCAAATATCACCTCTGAAGATCCACATCCCGGAGCCGGATCTCCGGAGCGTGGTCAGTCCCCTCCCATCCCCCACAGGCACTATCAGGTAAGTTGTTAATTATCCACAGTGTGTTCTCTGACATCACTCTGTCAGCCCTGTTTTGTTTGGTATCCTTGGTGCAAGAAATGCCCCATTAAAAATAACTAGTTAAATATCTGATGTTGAAAATTATGGGAGACTGCTAAAAACTGTGTTATGGTGGCTGGAAGAAGGGCACAAGGGTTGTGTTTAAGAGCTCAAGGGGAAACATAAAGTAGTCTGGTATCTGTAGTTTCATAGCTATAGAGTTACTAGTCTATCTTTGGAAGTGGAATTAGAAATATTTATTGAGAGCTACCTATATGCATGGAAAAAAGAAAGCAGGCAAATACTTTCTATCTTAGGGCTGCCTGTTTTATTTTTATCTCAGTAATATTCTGTTGTTGCTGGGTGGTGCTGCTTTATCTGAAGTTAGAGACAAGGGTGGCCATTGGCACATGGTTTCCTGGGAATGGAAGGAAATGGGGGTAGGATGCTGACCGTGTACTGAGGGGCTGTAGCAATCTGAATGTGCATCTGTGCCAGTATCCTGTTTTGTACATGATCTGATTGTGGATGTACAGTACAAATAACCTGAACATCAAGTTACTATCTGGAATATTTTCTTTCCTTCTCAGCAAAGAATTGATGTTACAGAGTTTCAGTGAAATCTTTTAGTGTCACATCTGTTACTTGGAGTATAATAAGTTTTATAAAGTAAAGGAGACTCATGGTATAGGATGATGTATTAGAATTTTGAAACAGATGGGCATCAGAATAGCAGGAGTGAGCCTGGTAATAGCAATAGCCTTTGGGTTGTTTTCATGTCTGTACATTTGTAAAAAGGTAAAGTACACAAATCTCTCCTGGCAGTTACCACTAATTCAGTGAATAGTATGCAAATATAGGTGGCTGAGAATGACTTCAGTGTCACAATGAAGCCAGTTTGGTTTTGCATAGATCTGGAGGCTCTTGGTTGTTTGGGTTTTTCCACGGGTCTTGCAGAGCTGCACAGATGTACAGTGCTGATATTCTAGAAAGAGGGGGCTGGAGGTAGCTGTGGTTTTAGCCCTCTGTTCAGGCACTGCTTTTAGTTTATATTTAACCTTCTCTTTTTAGATGAAGCTTGTTGCTGGGAGGGGAGGGGGATGGTTCCTTTGCCAACATATGGTACTGAGTTTCCATTCAGTCATCTTGTGCAAAGCAGCTCAGTGTGGTTTGTGTTACTAACAGAGGCTGTATCTTTTGACTCCAGCATATGTCTGCAACTGATATTTGATTCCCTGAGAATGTTTCTTTTGCACAAGGAGAAAGTGGAAATGGTAGTGTTGAATTGTGCTCGGCCCCTAACGCAGTGTTTACTAAGGATGATTAATGGTTGCATCCGTTTGTCTCAAGCAGAAGCTAATCCAGCCAAGTCTTCAGAAAACCTCAAAAGACATCTGAGGTTTCGCTTGCCAAACCCCTTTCGTTTCCGAGTTCCTCTTACAGAGGAGGGGCTGACACGTTTGTAAACATCCCTGCTCAGCCCTTTCAACCTCCCCCTCTCCCCCAGCAGGGTCTCGCAGCTCTGCCCGGTGAACCAGGCTTTGGAAAGTCATTTGGGTGTTTCTGCCCGAGAAAGGGAAGGCTCTTTGGGGACAAAGTAGCTATGCATTCTGGCCATCTGGCTTTCAGGGCAGCTCTTTGTTGCTTTTTTGGTAGCTTCACAGTGGTGGGTGAGTCTGGCACAGTGTCCTCTCTTCCTTCCCAAGGGCAGGTCTGCAAAGGCTGGTGAGGGCTCAGTGTAGGACCTGCACTCCTCTCACATCGCTGGCTTTGGGAGGTGGTTGCATGAGCTGGGTTCTCCTCCTCCTCCTCCTCCTCCTCCTTCCTCTCCCCCTTCTAGTATTTACTTTCCTAATTTGGTGAGTTTGCCTTGCTCCTCCCTGATTGGCCCATGGAAAATTATTGCAGTTTGGAAATCCTGGGCAGGGTGAAATTTCCTTTTTGGAAAGTGGCTCCTGGCCCCCTTTTCCTGCCTCCACCCTGGTGCAGGGCAGGGGCTGTACCTGCACTCCCAGATCCAGCCCTGCTCTCCTGACCCCCAGCCCTGCTCTGCCTCCCTCTTTACACTGCAACTTGCTTCCCTGCAGGTTCTCCCCTGCAAGCTTCTGGGGTTTTTTCCAGCCTATTTATTTTCCCTCTGCAAAGTGCAGAGAGGGAATGAGCTTTAGTTAAACAAAACCAAACCTGCCACCCTCAGCAGCTTTGCAAAGCAAGATTCTTGCTTGCTCCTGGGGAGAAATGTGCTCACTGTTTTCTCAGCTACGTATTTTATCTCCAGGAGGGGCTGTGTGTGGATGTGTTTTGAATGCTGTTGTACAGCTTTAAGGGAAAATGTTGGTTGGCAGCATGCTGTGAGGGTTACACACAGTCAGGGTTTATTTCTTCCTGCTTTGAGTTCAAAATTCCTTTTTAAAAAAATCAGACTTGCATGTTCCAGAAAGCAAGAGGCCACTGTGATTGTAATAAATTGGTAGAAGCAACCTGCCATTTTATACAATGTATGGAAGAGCAGAGGAACACCAAATCTCCTCTCAGCAAGTTCAAGGCATTGAAAAGCTGTGTGAAAACCGTGTGCAGTTTGGTTAAATTCAGCTCTACCTTTTGGGAGATAGAGCATTTCAGGGTCTGCAGCTTGTGTTTGGAGAATCCTCTTTGGGTGACAGTGGTGATATGAAGTTTCTCACCTATGCTGCAAACTCTTAGCTTTGCCTGCTTTTGTGATAAATCCACAATATCTACATGAATGTGACTCCATATGTGTTGCAGTCTAGGTTTGTGCTTGGATTATAAGCAGATCCACAGAGACAAGGTGTGATGTAGGAGACTGTTACTGGTCTCAAAGTCATGCTGAGTTGGAGATTAGATTTACAATGTTTAGTTTTCCTCTTATTATTGTCCAATTTGTGTTAATGGCCCTGTAGTTGTAACATAACTCAGTTTTTCAAATAGCATCTCTCTGCAGCATTGCCCCTCGGAGTTAGGGTGGTTTTAGTATTTTTGAAAATTAAATTCTTTCTCTGTACATGCTTCCCTATTCTAAACAGCAACTGTGATCTCACTGATAAATAGATAGATATAGATATATATGTATAAACTACAGTAAAGAAATACTATGGAGGTCAGTGCCGTTATTCATATTTTACAACTACTGCTTCTGGCTTATCTCTGCTCCCGAGTGACTGTGGGCTTGAACACTTTGTCTTGTTTGGGTTTTTTCATGGAAAGGGCATGGATAGTCAGCTCACACACACAGTCTTTATCAGTAAAAAGAATTCTTTGACATGTAGGAGTAAGAGTCGTTATAGCCCTGTGAGAACTGCTGCTTGAAAAGTGTCTGGTGAGGTTCTGTGCCAGTAGCTGAACTGGTACATATTTGTGTGTGGACTCAAATCTGTATTTTAACTGTTAGTACTTAATGTGCCTGCTCATGTCTGAGTGTTACTGGAAGGGTCGGTAACTAGTTTTCAATTAAATTAATGGTATGAATAATGAGAGATCAGCATCTTTCATTCAGTAAGCTTGATTAGTAAACCAGAAGATGTGAGTGAATTGCCATGGTTTCATAAGCTATAGTCCTTTTTTTCACTAGGCAAAATTAGTTCAGTAACGTGTTACGTGCTCTGATAGCAAATTACTCAGAGGTAGCTGCAATTATCTTGACTCAGCCACCAACTTGTTTTGTGGCCTTTAACAGGTCATTTAAATTCATTGTGTAATTACTGCTTTACAAATGTGTGTAGTAGATAAATTATGTATTGACCTTCTACTCTGTAAAGCATGACAAGAGTGTATGTGAGCCATGTTACAGCAGACCTGCAAATGCTGGCTATGCTTTGATCCAGACTTGGCTTGGATAAAGGGGGAGCTTTTAAACAGGCTCTAGGATAGCCATGTACCACTGTTTCAAAACACCTGGGATTTAGTCTGAGTTTGCACATTGACTCTAAAGGTGTGTGGTGGGACTCTGAATGAACCCTGACTTGAGTGGATGCATTCACTCACTGGAATGGGATGCATAAATATTGCCTGCTCCATTTCATTCAGGCTTTCCTTCTTCCCATTGAACTGAAACGCCGCTGAAGAGCTCCAAGGCACATTTTTTGCAGGCTCTTTTGCATTGTCTCAGTTATACATTACTTCCTGCATTCAGGCAGAATATGCAGCTCAGGCAGCTCCCACAGTTGGACAGACCGGTGATTATTTTTAATCACCCGAGTCTCCAAACCACGAGCCAAGGAGCATGATGCATATACATCATGTAAGAGAAGCACCAGTCTGTGCTGGGCTTGGGAGCTCTACTCATGTTTATTCCAGATAATGGACCATGTGCTGGAGGAGATGTGCCAAGCCATGTGCTGGAGGAGAGGTTGCAGATGTCACCAGCTACAGGAGCACTTCCTCTTCCCCAATCAGTATAAAATTTTAGTTCACTGAATCCACGAGTGGAGTGAGGTCACTTCCTTTCAGAGAGGAGAACCACTGGAGCACTGACAAGTAATAAAAATTTGAACTTTTGTGGATAGCTCACTTTCTCTTATTGTGGCTTGTTCGACAGCTTTGTTTCTCTTCAGCGTTAAGCAGGCAGGGTAGCTCTCAGATTTCTCCTTTCACATCAAAATCTAGCTTGGTTTGGCAGTCTCACCACTTGTGATTATTTCTGAAACCTGTCTGAAACAGGCAACATGCAAGGACTTGCCTTTCTTTGAGTTATGATTTTGGGGCTAGGCCGGGGAAGGCGAGAGCAGCGGAGGATTCTCACCCATTCCTGCTGATTGGTGTATCGTGGAAAGGCTTGTTTCGCAAGTCCAAGGGCTGTACTTTGACCTGATTCTTGCTTATTGCACGTAAAAAGCGTCCCTGTGTCTTCATGTCCCTTTTTTGCAGGCTCGTGAAGTGGAATATTGGGATAGTCTGAGGTTTGTGGCGTTTCTCTAACCAGAGTCCTTGAGCAGAGGGCAACACACCTCTGGTTTGCATTT